TGTCTCTCAGATCACAGGAGAACAAAAACCAAAAAAGGCAAACAACACTTTAGTCCTTTTATGTACTCACAAGGTTATTTCCCCCCAAAAATAAGAGTGTTACCTCTCTGATAATCATAATCTATTTTCCCTAACTTTTTAACATATCTACGTTAACATGCAAGCTAAGGAATTTCGGTGTCATTTACACTGGGGATGCTGGGGACACTACTCTTCACTCCTATTTAAAGCTTACTCTATTAACAACGTTCTTCAATACCAATGAAAATGCCTTTTAAAATGTATTTACACACATAAAAAACCCCAAATGAAATACAAGTAAATATAGAAAAACAAATGCGCACTTCCCAAAAAAGTAACTTAGGCTAAGAAAACCCCCTGCTGCTTCTGAAATGACCCAAACCATACAGCAGCATTAATCAATAACTTTAACAAATTTCAAAACACAGTTTTCCCCTTGATCAAGTTCCTTCTCTATTTCTTTATTCATATATGTTTTCTTGAATCCTAGCCTTATTGTCCTCTGCATAGTCTCTCACACACACTAGGCTTCTCCTATTTCTCACACACACAACCGAGACACAGCAGGGCAGCTCTCCACACACACACACACACAACTATCCAGTCAACAAGAATGCATTTCTTCACACTGTTTATAAAGCATGCTTCCGCCGCACCTTTTTCCTTTATTATTTTCCTTCCTAAATTTATGCTACCTCGAGTTTGCAGATATTTAATGAGAGGCCACTTCGGACATAGTTCGTCAACACATGTATCGAGAGGTAACTTACAATTAAATTTTTCTTCTACAAGCTCCCAGTTCCTTTGAACGGACCCGAAAATTCACCTAGTTCCTTTCCAGGATTTGCGGCCCATCTAAGATCGCCTTTCAAGGGCTTTTTGTCCAGATCTGCGGCGTCCTAATCCTTATTTTCCTTTTTCCTTAACCTTATATTTTCTTCCTTATCCTTATTAATTTGTATTCAAGCCGAATGACCCTGGCCAGGGTTGCACTCTCTCTCTTTTTCCCTTACTCCAATTTACCTATTCCTTAAAGCCTAGTTTCACGCGACAGTAATTTCCATCCCACATTACGGTTATAAGAATCTGAGGGCCCATATTCTTAATCTTTGCAAAGTTATGAAACCTCACTTCCCGTTACTCCTAGGCTGTTCCTTTTTCTTCCTTTTATATCTATCTATCTGTCTTCATTACATTCACACACACAACCT